CCAATCTCTTCTTAAAAACCTCCAGTGTTGGAGCACCCACAACTTCTGGAAGCAAGTCGTTCCACTAATGAATTGTTCTCACTTTCAGGAAATTTCTCTGTAGTTCTAGGTTGCTTCTCTCCTTGATTAGTTTCCATCCATTACTTCTTGTCCTCCCTTCAGGTGTTTTGGAGAATAGGTTGACACTCTGTTCTTTGTGAAGATATGAATCCAAGGAAATAGCTAAATAGCTAAATACACACAGCACTGGACTGCAATACCATGTTTATTCCTTTACCTCTTTAGGAACCCAAAGGAAGCTCTGTTGGGTTACTGTTCTTTCCTTCTTTCCTTTCCTTCTCAGTCTGCACTGGGATACACATTAGCTAAGGAAAATCTTCCGTGCACATAAAACACATTATTAACCATTTTCATTTGGAAGACTCCCTGCAAATTTCATCAAGCAAATTGGTTGATTTATGGTAAATTTCATCAAGTTTTATAAATATTCTCAAGTGTAAAAAAAAATTATGGTCAGCCAATTAGAGAGCAGAAAAAGGCTGTATGTTCTGGTAAACAAAAAAAGAGAAGCATTTTGTAGCTGCAGTTTCTTTCATCAGCTACCATTTAAATGACATTCCTGGAAAAAGACCCACAAGAAAAATCCCGTTGTTTTGAAATAAGCAAAGTGACCTTACACAGCCTATGAACTTTGAGTGATTAAAAGACTGGCCAGCCACTCAGCTTGTGCAACAAGATTTATATAAATACTGTGCTGGTGGTTCTTGGAAGACACACAGTCATGTAGCTCTGCCTTGCTAGGTGCTGCTTGGGCACTCAGTTTTTCTCTATTCTTTTTGATCATGATGTATTTTTTTGATTAAGCTGCATGAAACTCGCTCGCTCACTTTTATTCTTCTTCTCTGATTGCACAGGAGCGTGGTCATGAGGTTCTCTATGTTGCATAATCCTTTCCTTTTCCCCATCTTGTTCTGTTTCATTTTAATTTCGGCATGTGAGGGGGGGATTATTCATTTCACTTTCCAATGCCTTCACAGCCGCAACCGCCCTGCTGTCTCCTTTGCTGCCATCCCCTTCCAATGCGAGCATGCACTTGGACCATGCTTCCATCCTACATCTTTTGGGGGTGGGGGTGGATGAGAAGGGGGCTGCCAATGGGTCCAAGATCTGGGGGGCAGATTGCTGCGAAAGTGGAAGCGTGCTTGGAACTGGGTGAGAATATCGATCTTCTCTCTCCTATTTTGTAACTGATTTCCTGAAAAACATCCCCAAGAAGCAAAAAATCCTCCGAAAGTGAGAAGGGAGGGGGCCACACCCCCACTCTTCCATAGACGGAAGCGGCGAATTAATGTTTATGGGGGACAAAAATATATTGAAATGAAGTTAATAATATTACAGTCTGGATAAATCTGAAAATTATGAAAACAGTTAAGTATTGATGAAATTATAAGAAAATAATTCTTTGCCTTAAAAGGTGGAAGCTACTGATATCTAGTGGAGAATTAGAGTATAAAACTACAGCTGCATTGACTCAGAAATTGGCAAGACGCCCAGAAATCGAGAAAAACTTGTTCCTTTGAACCTTAGTGACTTTTAACCAAATAAAAAACAGCTGGGAACAGAGGAAAGAAAATACACTGGGCGATCTACTACAGAGTGAGAACTACATTTGTTTTAAAAACTGCTGACCTTCTGGGATTATAAATACTTACTGAGCTGTGACTTCTAAGCTCAAGAACTGTTTGCAGAGAAAGAAAAACCTTGACTTTTGGCTAATCTTCTAGGGGGGAATTTACTGGAAAGCTCTTAGGTGGCTAAATATTCTGGATTGCAATTTTGGCTGGTTGATAATTGTGACCCCTGAATAGAAGAACTGTTATAAAATACTGCTTTCAATGGTGCTTCAACAATTGGAAACACATTGGATTGCAAAAGTCATATGTAAAGATAAAAACTATATAAGATTTGGTTGTTTGGATTTTAAGATTGGCTGGTTTCACAAGGCTAATCACAGAGACTATGGTACCGGTGAATGATTATCTGGAGGGGGGAGACAAAATGGATGTAGCATACGTATCTAAAAGTGACAGGAAACCACACCTAATATTCCCTTCTGAAAGTCCCAGCCTGGAACATCAGACATCTGCAGGAGCAACACTCCAAGACAAGACAAATACCTTCCAGGAGGAAATGTATGCAATGCTGTGAAAGATTCAAATGACAATTGTTTCAAACCATGATGAGATTAAAAACAACTTTGATGGCATAAATGAACACATCTTCAACCTAAACCTATAATTAAAAAACACTCAGAAAACAACGATAAAGAATGAACAAACAAATCAGACAACAGAACATAAACCAGAGGAAAGTGACTCAAATAGGAAAGCTACAAATGAAGAGAACCACAGCTTAATACAAACAAAAGAAAATCTGCAAGATTTCACCACAACAATGAAAATAGAAAAGATATTTTATCTTTCAGGACTTCAAAACAAACTTGAGGATAAGAAAGAAGATCTAACAAAATGGATTATAGAGCAGCCAGGAGAATCATTAGAATTTGGAAGACAAAAAAACGTACATCCTACTTAATTTGTCTTTTCTATTCCCAACAATACTCATAAAAATACAGGAAGATCCCCTGGCAAGTGGAACATACTGACATGGAAAGATACATGGCAAAAGAAGAAGGCTAGAGTCAGATTCAAGAGATTTGATTTGACTTACCGGATGGAGTTCTATATGATTAAACACTTGTTTGAATATGGTTAAAGGAATAGATAAATTTTGGATATAAAGGGGCTCTACAGTAAGAGGGATAAGGTATATAAGTAGTATAGTACTATTTATAATATATGAGATGTAAAAATATTGGGATGGTATATGTGAATGAAAAGTTTGGGTATTTAAAAGTAATTAATTTTGAGAAAATTATGACTGATAAGAATGATTTGAATACTAAGGGGAAATTAAGCTTAAATAAGAATCTTGAAAACAGGACATATAGTGACTTAATAAGATGACTTTTACAAATACAATTGAAACATAAGCCGATTAGAAAAGATTTTATATGTGGATGTTATTGTTATTTGTACAAACACAAGAAAAATGTTTATATCCAACCTTGTATATATCAAAAGTATTAAAAATTATATCCGTTAATGTTGACAAAGGAGAATACTACCGGAAGAAGAGAAGATCAAAGAAATATATCATTAACTAATATACTGATTATGAAATTATAGAAATTATTATTGATTGTTTTAAAATATATGAACCCAGACAATACACTGTTTACTAAGCCCTAAATATTGCTATTGTAAAAAATCAATAAAATATATTAAAAAAGGAAAAGAAACTCCTTACTCTCACAATGCACAGAGAGACTCACCCATAATTCGAACTGGGAAACTGTGAGCATCCTAGACTGAACTAGATCTAAAAATGCTAGGGAATTTCTGGAAGAGTGGCATTCAAATTCAAATCAGCTTTCAATAGAGACATAGAGATAAAACTACATCTACAGACTATTCAAAAGAGACAATTAAAAAGAATGAAACAAAAAGATCAGAACCATCCTCTCCAGAGTCTACACCCAGATAGGAAGGGATTAACATCAGGCGAACAATTAAGAGAAAACAATACCCTAATCAAGGAACTCTCAGGGAGAAAGCCCCACTTCTGCCAACACAGGCAGGGCAAGTATATAAACAGGGAACAAACCCACACTCACTAGGACTGATGGTTTTATTTAATCAGGTGATGAAATGTCTGCAAGCAAACAACCAAGCTCAGAGAAAACCAAGGACTCCACAGATAATTGGGTTTTTTTCTGTATCTCTCTACACAAACAATAAACTGAGCCAGTAATATGAAAGCATTTTTAAAAAGAATGTTAAAATAGCACTTACTTAGAGAATATCAAGTGTTAAAGTAGCTGTAGTATTCCAGGAAGATAAATGAAGAAATATCTGGTTCTAACATTATGCTCTTCAGACTGTCAGTCTCTGTTACCCATTACATTAAATGTACATTTTATTGGTAAGAAGATCATTCAAAAATTAATACAGTGTAATATCAGTAATAACTGATAACAAACTGACAAATTCCATACATTCCCTACATTCAGTTCAGGTCCATTCAGGAATTTGAGCAAAGAGAGGGAGAAGGATAGAGGGTGAGCTAAATTAGGGCATGAAAAAAGAAGCCCATTGCTGTGTTTTGAAATTAGTCCCACATATTATCTGATATGTTGGCAAACACAAAGATAGAACATGACAGCGTACTTAACTATAAATCAAGCTGGCCTAGGTAGATTTCAAAATAGTGAGAATACTCTTTTGTTTTCCCTGTGACTGCTTGCATCACATACTTGTTTAAAAACCGGGTGGGCAGGCTGCAGCTCTGTGACAATGAGAGCCTGGCATAGAAAGTAACATTATGATTGTCAGTTTGGGGTTGGGCTATTACTTTTAAGCTCATTTTGCAAAGGAAGATTTGGCATCTAGATTATTAAGGGATGTACTGAGGTTCCGATATTTTGTTAGAATCTGGGATCTATAAGGGATCACAAAATAATTCGTCACCATGTTCCATAGTAAGGCAGAAACTATCCTTGCCCAATGGATAAAGTGTAATTTCCAACCTAGAAAACCAGAGGATCTGGAAACTGTTAAACCTTTTGGTAAACATCCACACTCTAGACATCAGGTTTGTGAAAAAAGTGAGAAATTCAAGAGAAAAATTGCATCACGGGAGATAAGAAAATGGCAATTAAACTTATTCTGAAATTTCTTTCAAGTCATCAGACAATGGGACCGACATACACATGTAAAATTCCTATGCTTATGAGAAGGCAGAGTCAAGAAGAGCCTCCTGTTCTTATTTATGTTCCTTCAAGCTGGCTGACCACCATTGTGCTTCCTTCAAAACAAAAGGTTGCAGACACTTATATGCATGCAGGAAACAGCTGCAGTTTTTCCTTTCTAATAACTTGCCTCTGTCTCTGGTCGAGGAATGAAAACTGGAGGCTTCATCTTGAGTGTCAGATCTTGGAAATCCCATTCACCAAGAACATACTGTACTGGCATCCTGGAATAGAAGGCGAGTTGGGCAATATTTTTGGCCAAAGTTGTACAAATGCTATTATCACATTTAAGTCACCACCATTTGCTAAAACACAAACTGCACTGGCAGTCCTTTCCTCCGTGAGTGAAATGGGAGGCAAGAACATCCAGTTCTACCAGAGAGCCTTTTATCATAAATAATTTCTAAATGTACCTTGATGTCATTAAGGAGCTCTTTTACTTTTGAAGCAAAAATATCATCACCACAAGCTTATCCATTACTCTGCCAATTGTTCAATTACAGCCTCCTATAACATGGTTTTACTCGACCTTTAGAGAATAGTTTAACATTCAAGCTTTCCAAGATCTAAGACAATTCTTCACAAAAGAGTTCTGCTTCTCATCAAACAGAAAGTCCAATAAAACCTTAAAGCTTCATAAGCATAATATTGTAACTTATTTCAAAGTACGACTATGCTAATAACCAGATGCTGTACTTTCTTTTACTATGGAAATAGGGCTTTAGTAACTAGCTTATGCCAATTGCCACATGATAAAACTTTCCCCATTGTTATGGTTCCTTTGAAGTGCTCTATTTGCTGTGAATCTCATAGACACATATATTTATATACTGTAGCTATACATACAGATTTTGATTGTAGGTCTCTCTTAAACTTTTGCATTGGGTGGATATCAGCTAAGTAATTCTGTCACTGCTGCAATTATTTTTTCTTCTCCTTTTATATATTTTTCCCTTTTCCCTTCCCCCAATTTCCGTAATTCTGTCACTGCTGTAATTATTTTTTCTTCTCTTTATATATATTTTCCCCTTTTCCCTTCCCCCAATTTCCCTTTTCTGTCTATAAGTTTTACTTTTTTTATAATATAGATGCTGCCCATTATGTTGTAAGCTGTAACAATAATAAAACAGATCACCCAAATGACCTGATTTTTTTTCTTCCATTATTTCAGGACATGGGCCTCAGTGAAGGTTTCCAATCAGCTGATGTTGCAATTTGGCTGCTTTAGTTTCTACGTGTTCCATGTTTATAAAGAACTCCTAGATCAGGGGTGTCAAATTCGCAACAACACATGACGTGTTGCATCACGTTTGCTGGTAATGGGGTGGGCGCGATTTCTCTATGATGCATCCAGCCCGTGGGCCAGCAGTTTGATACTCCTGTCCTACATGAAGGAAAAAAGTCCAGAGTGCCTACCGTTGTAGTCGTTTAGCACAGAGCTGTTGGATCTGTTTTTGTTGCTTTGCTGAAAGGGGAGCAGATATGCTGCTGGCATTCAGACTCTGGAACTGAATAATAAATATTTTATTTTAAACTAAGAATCCACATTCTTTGTAAAATGGTCAACTATCCACCATAGATATATGGTCATTATAAAAAAAAAACCTATGGAAAAACTAAATCTATCTAATCCAGCATGTTGGATGCCATTCTAACATGTCATCACAATTTGATGTCATCTGGAAATACTGGACTTTTTACAGATGTTGATGTGTCTTCCCCCATAGAGGAATTACAGAGATGGCCTTGAAGAAGGAATTCAACCACCATTACATAAACATTAGCTTAGCCCAGATAGCTCAGTTTCTCTCCTTTGGAGAGCTAGTGGTGAAGGCTGAACTAACAAAGGAGGATAGCCACAATTCCAGCATTGTAAATTGCTTTCAAGGCCATACTGCTTCTAAATGCAAGAGGCACATAATATGTATGGTAGATAAGTAGTATACAAGTCTACTTTTTAAGTAACTTCCTTTTTAAGTAACCACTGGCAAAAAAGAGGTTCAAAGCTGGCAATATGAAGGCTGACAAAGGATGAATTTCTGATCTACTAGCCTTCCAATGGTCAAGTCCAACTGACTGTTCAATACAGGAAATTTAAATTAAAAGCATATTGACAGATGCTTCTCCAGCATCCAATGAAGGGAAATTCAATCTCTGCATACATGGGTCCACTAACCAATTGCTCTATCATTTCCTTTAACGAGAATAGCTCATGAAGGCTAACTTTCATTGAATCAATTATAAACACAGAGGACAGATGGTATGTGCCCATATACAGTAAGGAAAATAGGTGAGTATTTTAATTACTCTTCTGTATTTCCCAATTCAGCACTCTTAATTTTTGTCTTTCCTCAATCCTCTTCCAAATAAAATATTAAAATTCATTTTTGGTCATATTTCACACATTCCAACAATTTTTTTTTCAAAAACCTAAACCAGAATTTACCTTCCTGCAACTTAAATCCATTATTTAGTATATCATACTAAAGCAATATAATTAATGCTAAATATCCATATTAACAAATATATAGCGTGGGGAATGATAAAATCAGAGTTGGAAAGCTTTATTTAAGCCATCACATCCAAGCAATGGATGGAAACTAATCAAAGAGAGAAGCAACCTAGAACTAAGGAGAAATTTCCTGACAGAACAATTAATTAGTGGAACAACCTGCCTCCAGAAGTTGTGAATGCTCCAACACTGGAAGTTTTTAAGAAGAGACTGGACAGCCATTTGTCTGAAATGGTATAGGGTTTCCTGCCTGAGCTGGGGGGTTGGACTAGATGGCCTCCAAGGTCCCTTCCAACATCATCATCATCATCATCATCATCATCATCATCATCATCATCATCATCATCATCATTTATTATCCAACTTCCTGCTCAGTGCAGGAATATAATTTAAAAGCATTTCTAAAAGATGGCTGTTCAGCCTCTGCTTGAACACATTTAGTAATACAAACATCACTATCAATCTTAGTAATTGGTTCCTTTTTTGATACAGCTGTTAGGATATTTTCTTAGTACTAATATTTACCTGTATTCTTTCAGTCTTCTGCAGCCAGCATGGAAATTAAAATTATTAGCTATATAAAATTGTCCGATTATTTTTATTTGTTAAATTTTTATGCTGCCTATCTTCCTCTGTAAGGTGACTATTTATTTTTGTGGGTTTCTTAAAATATAAAGGCAGTTTTTAATGAGCATCTTTTAAGAAATAATTGCATTTTATATATGCTAAGCTACATGACACAGGTAGGATTAAGGCTGTTTACACTTTTTCTAATTACTAAAAAACCTTTTATTTACTATACTATTTATTATTTATGAAAGCACTTATAGCTGATGACAATGCTATAAATGTTAGTATCCAAGAAAAAAATGTTGGTATCTAAAGGAGAAGAAAAGGAAGTATTAAACACTTTAATAATGCCAAAAATGATAAAGCTGCAGGTAAAGAATATATAACTAAATAAGTGTTAATGTGGATTTGGATTGCTTTTGAGACTTGCTTGATAGGTATGTATGAAAACTGCATGATTGGAAAAATATCATTATTGTTTTATTATGGAAAGAGAAAGATAATACGAATACATGTACAAAATGCAATGGGACCACTTAATTAAATGCTATTGGGAAGATATTTGACGAATCCTGCTTAAAAACCTTGAATTGGTGACAGTGAGCAAAATTTGGAAAGTCACTGTGACTGTTGGGCAGGGCCTTGTGCAGAAGAGATTTTAATTGATTTAGTTTGCTGAGAAAGATACTAATGTATGAAAAAAATGGGGAACATGGTACATGGACATGATGGAAACAATGATGATGTGAATAGACAGAAAGCTAGGGAAAGTTGGAGTTGATGATGTTGGTGTAACCTAGCTTCTGCTGTTTTTTCTTACCTCATGCCTTCACTGTAATTTCATTATCTAACTATTTATTTTTCCTTCTCAGCACTCTGCATATTACTTACCCCCAAAGGGAATAATGAAATGAATGTTCATGTATGAGCATGTCCTTCTAACTGTTGATTAAATCTAATTTCTAGTAATGAAGCAGGAGCAGTAGTTTAACCATTATAATCTATGGCAAATGAAAACACATATACATCTGAGGTACTTAAAAATCAAGAAAAAGATATATTAAAAGCCAATGCCACTGCAAACAGTGAACATTTCCATGTATTTTGACTAGCACAATTCTTTGGAAGCACGTCCAAGCTACAACCTGCCTGCAAGAAGTGCTACTTATCTCACAGGGAGATTTGTTATGTGCCAAAGGACAGGTAAAATTGATCCTAAGGGATCCATTTTGATGCTTGGTACACATACACATACACACATCATATTAGATCATCCAGTTCTGGGCTGAAAATATTTGGATAATCACCACAGTGTAGCAGGAAGATAGAAAAACATATAAAATATATTTCAGTTACTGCATTTAATGTTAATCTATAGTTTTACAGATCTTGTATTATAGCTCTAATTTTACCCATAGCACTTAACTGTTTTTGCTCCCAGGACATGGGAAACAATATATTCAGAAGATGTCTGCGCTTCTGGGATATTGTTTGCCTCAAACACCGCTTGCCAATATTTGACCACATCAACAGCTGAGACCAAATTGGCTTTATAACAGGAGTAATTTCTCAGATGTCTGTGCCAGGGATTTAGAAGAGTATCTTTAATTTGATTCATTCTAAAATATCCACGGTAAGAGAATAGATACAAAATCTTCCTGTAATAAACACTACTGAAAGTTGTCATTGCTTCAGAAAAATATCAGTTTTTAGGTATAAGCACCGATTCTCCTTTGCAGGACTATTGAAGGGCCTGTCTCAGTAGTCTTTTATAACAGTATACATCACCATGGCACAATATTCTGAACTCATCATTTTTGTAGAGAAGAACATCAGTCTCAGATTCAAATGCCATATTGTCCTAGTAGATCACTAAGAGATGGAGAGATAAACAAATGAATCTTCTCAAATTCAAAACAGGTTTACTTTGCACAGAAAAAAATAGACCATTATAGTATCATATATTATGTTAACATGGATTTTTTTTTTTTTACAACTGTATCTCTAACCATGTTTTTCTGAGTGTGCACCACTGGGGTGGCAAAGTTGCTTTCACTGAATACAGCACATTAAAGTCTCCTTCACTTTTCAAATAATTTCATACATAGACACAATTTCTCCAACATAGACACATTATATATTTGAAGTTATTGTCAACTGATGCTTCTTGATACACTTAGACAGATAAATTATGGTGAAATAAAATCAAGCATAATTAGCTCTAGCAAATGCTTTTGAACCTTAGCAGTGTATCTCGTTTGAATCCAATGAGATAAAAAGCTTTTGCCATCTTTGTGGCCTCTGCGCATAAAAAGTTGCAAATACTATAGTGAATTTATGCTGCATATAATACACTGCTGAACTGAGCATGTGAAGAAACTTCACCCTCATCACACAAGGCTGTTATTTGTTTAATCATAGATGCTGCATAGACAAAAACAGAGGTTTTGTTACACACTATGCATTATTTCTGAATCATAATAGCTAGATTCACATAGTTTCCAACAAATCAATTATACTTTAACAAAATTGAGTCACCTAGCTGAACAGACTAGTTAGACCAGACGAAAAAAGAAGCTCCTTCCTTGTATTTTCCTCATTCTAAAGGGCAGTTCGTTTATTCCATAAAAAGATTACTTATCCTTTGTCCTCATTCATTTCCATGGAACTTATAAAATCTGTTTAATAATTTTTTTTTATTACAATGGGACTTACAATTAACCTATAACCTTAATCTGAATCTTTAGTTATTTGGAAGAAACGTTTTGAATCTTTTCTAAGAATCAATCCACATTTTGAAAACTTTCCAGCTTTCTCAGAGCATTTGCAAGTACGCAACACAACTGACCAAAGTGTATAGGAAATCAAACACCGACGCCTTCCTAATACGGATTTTTTTTTTTTAAGTCATTTGAAAATGACTTCGTATTGAACGAAAGGAGGAAAAACGCCATATACGTTTTCTTTCAGATGCGAGGATCGGCACGACAGAGACTTTCAGCTTTTACCTGTAAAAAAAGGGGACATTGCAAGTCCTGATCGGATGGTGGAAATAAGATGCTCGGGAGGGAACACTCTTCCGGTGCGAGCAGCAAACGCTTCAGCTCGACCGCCAACAGCGCCATCGAACTGAAGTTCCTAGCGAGCCAAAGCTCCACCTTCTAAAGTGCCATTATCCATTTCAGAGCGCGTTGAACGAGACAAGGGAGACGCCGCGTGGAAACCGGAGGTAATTCTACTAAAGAAGTTCAGAAAAACTGACGCCACCTTTGAATCGAGCTTGAATCTTGTAGACTTCGTCGGTAATTTTCTTGGCAGTAATACAGTATAGAAGTGGCCCCATCATACATCTATTCCCAGCCCTAAACTATTCTGTAATTTGTTTGGCTGAGTTCAGAGCAAACTAAAACCATTTTTTTCCTAGTAAATCATTGTTAAGCACGCTTAGAGGTAAATGTGATCCCAGCGTCTTGTTTAGCAAAGCGTAAATAAGCAAACTATGGCTTGGCAACATGCATACTCAATCCAAGGCTTGATCAGATAGCATCCTGGTTAGTTTTATGTGTGGACTAGGATGACCTTGTTTCAAAACAATTTCTAATGACTTTCATTGTAATCCCGAAAGGAAACTTCATCAGAGTAGAAATTTCTTATGAAGTAGTTGCCACTTGCAAAAATGCGGGGACGGGGGGGGGGGAGGGAGCAGAAATGCCTTTCCCACGTCCATCACACGAACGATTTTATTAAGTACATATATGCTCCACACTTTGAACATATGTAGACGCCCGATTTCCAAAAGGTAGTAAAAAAAAATCATCGTCTTTTCGTGCAGGATGGTGGGTGGATTCCACAAAGAAGGCACAAGAAGGGAATCCTGGGGAGTGAACCATAATCCCTATAAGATCGTGCACGTCCCAAGGTATCACTTTCACCTGGCCGAGCGCGCGACGCTCCTTCGGCTAAGAGCGAGCCTGGACCACCACATAAATCTCACTTTGCATTCCCGGACTTCGGAGCTTGCAGCAGCCATCCTCCTCTTTCTGAGTGACATGCCAGCCGGCCCAATCCTTAACCAAAGCGCTGTCCTGTGTTAGCCAATCCTGGGGAAAGGAGATATCAAAGCAGGAGATTAAGAGGGGCAGCGGCAGAAACGGGGTGAGGCTGGTTGTAGCATCTTGGAAAGCACAATGGCACGTAAGACCGTGCTAGCACCCTGGCAGCTATTCATTCCTCTCCGATGCAGGTAATCCGAATTGCAGCAAAGCGGTAGATACCCGAGGCAGCCCAGCCTCCAGCAAAACAATCCGATTACTGCTGTCCCTTCGGACGGCCATTGAAAGCCTGCTTTAGTGAAAGAGGGCCGGGCCAGAGTCTTCCACTCCCCGGGACACGCACCCACACAACCCATCTTCCTCACTTGACCTAGCAGTCGGTGTCACTTTTTAAGTTATAGGCGGGAAGTGAGACAGGCTGTCTCCTTCCGAAGGCTCCAAAAACAACGAGGGAGGGGGAGCTGTGGGAAGAAGGGTTACTCTCTTCCCCGTGTTGCAGCGATCTTGGCCTGGGGGTATTTTCTTGATCTGAGGTGGAGCCCTGGGACAAGGGCAGGGTTTAATTCCTCTTCACCTAGACATCATCTCAGTAGGTGCTGATGCCCTGGGCTGAGCTTGTGATAGGCAAGGCATACCTAGCAAGGAGTTGAGGGCATTGGTGGGAACAGAGCAGATCAAAGGGAGCAGGAGTAATAAAGGGAGGGCAATCCCCTACATTCTGCTCTGGGGCTATTCCCTCCCCCCCCCCCAACTGTCCATTCCAAGTTTCTTTTCCTCCTGCCCTGGGAAAGAAGAGAGATGCTAGATTTGGTTCAGGTCAGACTGCTTCCCTCTGCAGGCATTACAATATGGAAATTTCCTTTTCCTTGGGTGGGGAAGTCTGAGCAAGACCTGACTAAGCAACCAAAGGAACCTCAAGTTCAGCAGCACTTTAGGGATTAAATTGGACTGTTCTTTTTAATTACTCTTATCCAGTCTGCCTGCAACAAAACTAATCTGGCTAGCAAGAGAAAGATATAAACTTGGTCATGATCAGTTTTTGGCATGTTTGAGCCACAGAGGGATTGTATGTTGGGAAAAACTAGCTAAGACAATTGTCCAAATTGCTTTTTGTTTTACAGTTTACCATTTTTTTTTTAGGATTAAAGTGCCTAAATTGAGTTAATTTTATGGATCTTTAGTTAAAATAAAGGTACAGCAAAGTCAGAGCTTATAAGTGATGGCTAAGAAACTCTAACCATATCTGTACAATGGTTGAAGAGTTTGAAGTAGCACTGACTTTTGTGAGAAGAGATGTTGCGATCATAGTTGAAAGTTCTGTGAATGGTTGACAGCGACAACATGGGAATGAAAATTTTTAGATAATAAATACAAAGAAATAAATATAAAATGTAACCAAGGCTACAGTATCATCCATGATGTTATCACATGCTGGCAAAATAATGCTTAGATTGTTCAGTAAACATTAGAATCTTATATGGAAAGGGAGATGCCAGATTGTCAAGCTGGTTTTGGAAAAGGCTGAGGAACAAGAAACATTATTGTTGATGCACAAAAAATACAAAAGAGAAGGTAGTATGTGCTATATAGAAAGTACCTCATGTGTCAATCATGCCAATGTTAGAGTGACTTTTGGAAAATGGGAATTCCAGAACATTTCATTGTCCTCACGAGAAATTAATGCACAGGATAGGAAACTACAATCCAGACAGAAAGTGTGAAACTGATTGGTTGTAGAGTCTATGATTAAATATAAAGAAGACCAAACTAATGACAACAGATATAGTAATCAGCCTTAGAATCAACAGTGAATCAATCAAGTGGTCAAGAAATTGTCACAGCCAGCTCATAGAAGAGTAGCATTGAAAGCCTTGGAAAAGATATTCAGACGCCATGATATGTTCATTCCCATAAAGATTAAAATTAATGAGGCAGTGGTTTTTCCTGTGAGTCTATGAAGAATAAGGATAGTGTTAATATTTTTGAATCTTGGTGTTTGGAGAGGACTGTTGAGAATGCCGTGGACAACAAAGAAAAAAAAAAAGATTATTGGACAAATCAACCTAGAATTCTTGCTTAAGTCTCAAATGACCAAACTCGTATTATCCTATTTTGGACACAATGTGTGAAAACCTAGTTTTCTTGAGAAGTCTATAAAGCTGGAAAAGGTGAAAGGTAAGAGAAAAAGAGAATGCCAATATCAACATAGATGGACTCAATTATGGCAGCGAGGGGTACACAATTGGTTGGGGACAGATCATCCCTGAAAATGACTTGCTGACACATAATTGTAAGCTGCCAGAGTCATTGACTAAATTGAACAAATAAATAAACAAATGAGTCAAATTATAAAGTTTGTAAGAACTGCACTTTAAGGTAAGCATGTTTCAAGTTACAAAATGTATGACTAAGGCTTACTTTCTCCTTACTGCATCTTTTCTCATCATCCTGTGTTTTATAACTGCTTTTCAGGTGATCCCATAGAGCAAATCAAAGAAAGTAGCTTTGCATTGTGGAGATAAAGAAATACACTGAGCATGTTCTGTTGTTCAACTTGCTTTTGCTGTCTTGATCCTTAAAAAGGCCTCCTTTGCATGAGTTCCATTTTCTTATTTTAAAAAATAAAATAGAGTGAGCATTTAAAACCATATATATATATACGTCTAATTAATCACCCTAACAATAAAATGGCATTTAAAATTGCCAAGGAAGAAGGCTGCAGCGCTGGTCATTTGGACTCTCTAGAGTATTATCCTTGTCTATATTGATAGCATTAATAGATAAAAATAAAATTAAAATCTATTAAAAATCCAACAAATAAGAAACAGAATCTGTAACAGGGCAATAAAATAATGTAATAAATAAATCCAGTTACATGTCCTTCGTTTCCCTTTCCCTGACTTAATCACACTCCAGCCTACACAGATGATACTTTTGCAGTAACCCGGTCATATCCTGTAAACTCTAGCAACCTTATAAATATAGATAATCCTAGCAGGTTAAATATCTTCCTCGGTGAGTGATTGGCTTGGTTTGAATAACTGTAAATGCACTGATAGAACATAATGGAAATATTAAAAGTATTCAGAGCTTCCTCAAAGAAATACACTGCATATGTCAGCCCTTAGAGATAGTCCAGACAAGAAGCACCAAACATGAGTACTAACACTACTCTTATTATAAGGTACAATGGCAGAATCTTGCAAGTTTAAAAATACATCTCTTCCCCCTTGTTTTTACCATCCACGTCCCATTCCTTCTGTGGGCTCAGCTGTTTCTTATCTGTTGCCTAGTTCCTACTCTGCCTCCTGTCCCTCAAGGACATTTTCACAGACTTAGAGTATTCCTAAAAATTAATCTGTTCTTGGTTGCAGACAAAAAGACGTATATCAATAATAGATCTCTTTATTCCTTTATTGTCTCTTCTCTGATTCTTAGCCTTTTGATCATTTGAAACTTGAAATCTCCACTCATCAACAATCCCAACAGACCTTAGAGCAGTTTCTTTCTTTTTGCAGGTCCTGCTTCACAGGGTAGTCAAATTAAAATTCAGGAGTGAGGATGCTTTGTTCTTCTAAACATCTTGGAGGAAGAGTGAAATATAATTAATAATAAAATAAGAACATGGGAATGTTATCACTATTGTCATCATTTAACGTTTATAGTTATTACTTATTGGTTGAGCACAGGATCACGACTCTGTAATATTAGTTCAAACCCTGGCATTAAATTGAACCCTCAAACAAAATGTATTTAGAAAGAGGAGAGTATCCATTGGTCCAGCAAAAGAGAATGGAAAAGATCAACTCAGCAGGACTTTTGAACAGAAGAATGGAATTACATCGTTAGTGTTGTGGTTAGGAAGTCCTCAGTTCAATTTTCATCTTGGTCGGGAATAAATTTTCTTGACTTTAGGCAAAAAGTCTTCTCCTGAGGTTTGCATCTGTGATGTGGATACAGAAATGTTTGCATCTGTGGTGTGGATACAGAAATGTTTACTAAGATAATTTGGTAGGCAAATTATCCCATCTCTCTCTCTCTCTGTCTTTCTATGCCTAGGCATTAGTCAACACGACTTCATTTTAGAAGCTATTAAAGATAATAAGAGAAAAAACTTTCCCATCTTGACAGAAGAGAAATGATGAGTTCATAGCTGAAAGAGAAGAACATTGTGGTTGAAACCACCATTCAAGCAAACAAACCAAAAAGAAATAAAGCACTCTGGTTCAAGATGAATTATAGAACACCCACTGTAAGCAATCTGTACCTCAGTGGCACTACTAGGCCTGAAGCAGACCATGGGACAACCATTGATGAGACTGGATCAGAAACTGTTGCAATGACACCTGAACCCAGCAGCTTTATCAGCACCAAAATTCCAGATGTGGTCAGCAATGGCCCAATCATGGAGCCCATGCTGCTATCCTTTGGCATCATTACTGTTATTGGGTTGGCAGTAGCAGTGGTAAGATTTGAGACTATGTTTGGGAATGTCACTACCAAATTTTATGCCAATTGACCTCTTGAGCTTAAGGCTACAAAAAATTCTGTGGAAGGAATCTAGTTCTTGCCTTAACAAAGAATTACAGTCCCTTTGCTATAATTGTTAAACTAGTACATGATTTAACAAACAGATATAGTCGTAAACAGATGTACAGATTATTTAAAAACTTGCTTGCATCTGTTTTCTCCTACTCGGGACTGACGAGGTGGGCCCTGCTCACACCCCTGTCAATAAAATCTGTGAAAAGAGACAGAGACTTTCTTGCAGTGGCTCCATTTTAAGAGACAATATGCTGGATTGTGTCTCTCTGGTTTGATTTGTTTTATAGTCTTAATTTGCAGATGCCAGTGATTCAAGGCAACTGTTTTCATCAATTGTTTTAGGTTGTTATCATTTTATCTTGTAACCATGGTGAGAAACCCTATTTGGAAAGGCAGTATAATTACGTTAAATGATTTTGGCTATTCAGTAGAATATACTTATGCTACGATCCCAAATAATTCCTTTCCTCTCATTAAGAATAAGAACTGGGTGACAGCAACATCCTTCCCAGTGTGCAAGTCCACCATACATAATTACATCCCCTAATTACATTAAAGCAAGCCAGATGTATTAAGTGTGGGCAGGTTCTAGTCCCTTGTCCCTTGTCCACACAGAAGCCCACTGGGTGACTTTGGCCAGTCATTCTTTTTCAGCCCAGCCTATTTTACAAAGTTGCTGTTGTAGGGATGAAGAGCAGGAGGGAATATCATCTTGAACTTTTGTATAGGAAGGGTGTTATAAATCTAATAATTCATGTTTTCCCAAACCTTATTGCTTTTTTCATAAATTTGTGCACATGTATTTACTTGTTACTTTTATATTCTGCCTTTCTGTTCAAGAGCAAAAAGCAACATAATCTTTCTTCCTCTTACTTTTCCCCCCACAACCTTTTCAGGTGGATTGAGAGACAGTGATTGATTCAAAGTCACCCTATGAAAGCCCATGGCTAAGGGCACATGAGACCCAAAGCTGGTCTGACCCTTATACAACTACACAACTTCTCCCTTTTTCAAGTACACATTACAATTATTTAATGCAAAAGATCCCGCTGAAAAAATGCTTACAACAATCATATTTTTCTAATTTTTTTCCTCTAGGTTTTGTATATTCGGAAGAGGAAACGGTAAGCGTTCTGTACAGATGAGTTAAGCAGTTTGTTTATCTCTTGTTAGTTTTTGTTTTCTAGAAAGCTCCTCCAAAATCTTCACATTTGAAACACATTTGAAAAAAACCTGTTTTTCTCTTCCCAACTTTAAAAGTAATAATGCATT